TCACGCGTGACCAAAGGTCATGTATGTTATTTTTTCTACCTATACTTTTAAACTTCGATCGAATATTTTAAAGAAACACAAAGTTTAAGTTAAATTTTTGACATTTATATTTACATATGTATTTTACCGTCGAATCTTTTGCATTCGTTTTTTAAGGTTTGTTAGACATTGTATTGTTAGATGTTTCGAAATATTTTATTCATTGATTACTTCAATATAGAAAGATAGCTTTTGATCTAAGGCTTTCAGAAATCTGTGAGATCTATGATAGAGTTACCGAAAAACAAGTTTTCTAATGCTTGATGTTTTTAAAGTAATTCATATTGATTGATCAAATAATAACATAAATTAATATCCTTTTAAATTCGTTAGACTAAACATCGATATGTAAGCACAAGTCCCAATACGTACCTATATTGTTACCTATATTATTATGTTATATAAATCCAAGTTTTAAAAACAAAAATCCAAAAGCTCCTTGTAGATTGCAAATACCTTTGCAGTCTTATTCTCCCTCAGTGGATCGACGAGCTAGACATTCAACAAGCAATTGGAATTTTTCGTTCGAAATAATAGATAGCATTCTTGTATACGAAGTATTTGCGATACATAACAAGGCATGTTATTATCCATTGATTCGAACAATTACATTTATAGCCTTAATTTAATATAACTAAATAATTTGAAAGCTTTCTATTTTTATTTTTAGTATAAAAGTCATAAATCAAACTCGTAAAAGAAAATTCATGTGGCCGTCAGCTAATTTTGAAGAGTTAGTACACTTTATGAATATAAAATTTGTCTCTTTTGACTGAGGTTTTGTGGTTTATTCTTAAGAATGTTACATTCAACCTTAATCAGAGGGAATAGAAGTCAAAGTACCGTCCGAGATAACGAGGCATTCATAAATTCAGACTATGAAATTTTGGTTATGATTTAATTTTATAGTAAGGTTCGTACTTAGAAAAATCGTAAAATCGTAGGTACAGCTGCAATTGAATATAATATAATATTTCTTGCTACGTGTTATATAATTGACCTTACTCAAATAACTACATGGACGTCACTAAGTTTTAACCAGTCGTGAGGAAAATCTGCGAAATGTTATACAGAACTTGCACTTATAAATATTATACGTAACACAAGTTCATGTTATGTATGAGCATCCACATAACGCTATACATAAAATATTGTGTATGTGTTATGCTTAGTTTTAAAGATTAATTAAAGCACTCATAGGGAAATAGGGACAGAGAAAACGACTTTGTTTTATACTATGTAGTGTTGAGTAAGATTCAGAGAAGAAGTACCAGAAATTAAATTTTTATGAAGATTTCAGTCACCTCTTATTATCAAGAACACTATTGTAGTTAGTTACACAATGATTAAGTCGCGTTTTGTTTATAGCTGTTTGTTCTAAATAATAATTTAATTTAAAATTTATGAGTTCTGCCGCCAACATACAAAAGCATCGTTTGCAATTAAATGTGCATTGCTATGAAGGAAACTAAATTATCGGGTACTATAAATTAAATAATCATTAATGTATTATTCCTCTTCATATGCCTAGATACATACAAAATTTCTTCGCTTTAAAATGATTATTGGTTAGAAGAGTGGAGATAATCATAAAAAACTTAAACTTATAATTTCGAATTAAAGTTTGATTGCACTAAATACTAAGTAAATTATTATTTACAAAAAGAAAATGTAATTACTCAATTCGACAATATCTTCGTTTTCAAACAGTCATATAATACATAACTATATCACAATACAGCATTGTGTTACTGTGAGTGAGGCTACCGAAGGCCCATTTCTTACCCTCCCCAAATCCCTAAATCCCCAAACCCAAAAGATCGGCAACGCACTTGCAACTCTTCCATGGGTGGCGCTGATTGCTTACCATCAGGTAATCCATCTGCTCTTTTTTTAATCACAAAAACCAAACAATTACCTAAATAACAGAGCCAATATGCCATTAATCAATGCTATTCTATTTTCTTACAAAAAACTGTTTGCGATCGATCTGACTTCAGCTACAGGATAGAGACATCGCACTCGATCATAGATGAACAATCCGCCTCACCAGCCAAACAAAGTACATAAGTAATCGGTAAACAATGGTGACCCCACAGCTTTAGACCTTACCGAAGGTCACCTCGGTTACATTTTTAATGAAACACTGAATGACCTTGTCACTTAACCCGTGTACACATTGTTTGAAGTAATTGTACTTATAAGTGTGGATTAGGTACCTGAATGTTGGAAATATTTATGGTGTTGATGAACAATGTAAAAATGTAAGCAGTCTCTTTTTGACCGAATAGATGATGTCAAATACCTCGTGCCTTTAAGTGCTCAATGCTGAGCAAAGGCCTCTTCTCACACGAAGAAGGTTTGAGCATTAACCATCACACTCGCTCAAGGCGGATTGGCGATTTCAAACTTGTAATTAGAACTTATATTTAAGTCCAGATTTCCTCAAGATTTTCCTTCACCGTATGTTAGTTGTGTCTACATAATCATAGAAAGTACATGTAACTTGGAAAAAATACATTGGTACTTGCCAGGTTTCGAAACCGCACCCTTACGCGTGAAAAGTGGCCGCTTTAACCTACGGCCACCATGATGTTAAAATATTATTATGTAATCATAAACACGCCATATCAAACGGAAGAAAGGCTTAATTGTGTGTAAGTAACGATTTATTCACGAAAATTAAATGTGAAAAATTCAAAAGTCACAACTCTTATTCTTAAGTAAAGTTACGTAAGTAAGTCATTGTCTATACTAATATTATAAAGAATGTAAGTTTGTAACTTTGTGAGCTTGTATGTAGGGTAATCTTCGGAACCGGATTGCCAAAACTCTTTCACTGATAGATAGCTAAAATGTTCCTGAGTGCCATAGGCTATAAAAAATCACGCTACGATCATATGGAGTCATGCAGCGGATGAAACCACGCGAGAATAGCTGGTTTTGAATAAAGTATTGTACCTATATGACGATAGAACAATACAGTTTATCGTTTTACTTATGCGATTATGGCTTAATTAATAATACTTCTTATTATTTTTAGACAATTAATGATAAAATGTACAGATTGGGAGAGCCGCTTCGGCACAAATGAGCCGGCTCGACCGGAGTGGTACCACGGCCATACAGAAAAACGCTGTGAACCAACACTGACGTGTTTCACCGTGTGAGTGAGGTTATCCGGGGCCCAATTCTTGCCCTCTCCCCACATCCTCAATCCCCTATCCTTAGATCCCTAATAATCCACAAGAGGCCGGCAAAGCACTTGTAGTAACTCCTTTGGTACTTCGACAGTCCATGGGCGGCGCTGATTGCTTACCATCAGGTAATCCGTCTGCTTGTGTGCCGACCTATGTCATATAAAAAATGATAAAAAAACAATACTGCAATTGTAGCTTAGATAGACTTATCACTGAATAAAGAAAACAAAAACATTACAAATTCTATACACCACTTTGGACATAACATTTTTGACATTTACATAATACATGATCCATTTTAAGACTTCAAACAAAGCTAAATCTTCTCTTAACATAATAAAATCAAAATAGACACTACTAATCCAGTTAAAAGTGGACCAGTTCATGTATTATTCAGTCTGTTTTGTACCAAAATGAGAGAGACTAGCTTGTGACCCAAAAACGATACATTGCATAATGATTCTCAGCGACCAAAATGATAAAAGGCTAAAAATATCGATGCGAACCGACAATGTTAACAATAGGGAACTGTTTGAAGATCGTTATCAATATCTTAGGTACCTTTTATTTCCCCATAAGATGCATATAATATGAAATGATGGTTAGCAATCAGCGCTGCCCATGGACACCCACAAAAACAGAGGGATTACGTTCTATCTTTTGGAGATTGGGTGACTGGAGATTTTGGAATTGGGGAAGGGAAGGGATTAGGACTTCGGTAACCTCACTCACGGTGAAATACAACGCTGTGGTTTATTCACGCCGGTTTTCGGTGAGGCCGTGGTATCACTCCGGTCGAGCCGACCCATTCGTGCCGAACCATGGCTCTCCCACACTTAATAAAGAAACATTGTACAAGGTTATATAAATAAAGAATCATTCGACCGATTTTTACAAACTTTACATAAACTATCTACTAAATAATCCAAATAAATCCTTACCCTTTGGTTTGAATAATGGAATAATAAAAATACCGAAAAGTGGCAATGATTTTTATATCTGTACTAACTTTTACCTGTGATTGCGGTCCCGTCATTTGACTAGGTATCTATGTACACTACCTAACTAGTTACCTATCCTACCCCATGTAACCTACCCTATCCTATGTTCTTCTGATTCTTATGCTTGGGGCACACTAACGGAAAATGCCATTTATCTTAGGTGTAATTTAATCACTAAACAAAATGATTTAAGGTATATTTTTAATTGTTTAATATCATCAATTCTCAACGAAATCTATTCAGCCGTTCTTGAGTTATAAATAGTATAACTAACATGACTTTCCTTTATACGTATGCCTTTTCTTTCCATACATAATTATGTGCATTATAAAGGAAATCGAATATAATTTAGAGGTTATAATTCTAAACGCTGTTATCATAGTCATTTTCATCTTTGTATTAGGGCCAAGAAGTCCACTGCTGATCATACATATACATATATTATGAAGATCAAAGGAATTCTAGACTTCATTGGCTATGTTGTGATGTTAGGTTTGCCAACCTTCCGACAGGTAGGGTCCTTAGGTGGTGATGGATGATAGACGTGTCAATAAAACACCGCACTACATACAAATACGTGATGTACCAATAATATACAATACGTGATTATACGATCATACGTGATCTACAAAACAAAAACACCCAGGAAAATAATAAAAAAATAATAAACTCGCAACAAGGAATCATTTTCTTAGAAGAATAGTAAGTGATTAATCGTACCTACATATAAGAAGACGGAAGTTGTACATACAACGTTAACATGGCGTTTTCAGCTGAATCGATGTCAACGAACCAAGGTCACGGTATGGGGACGATAGTAGTTTAGTGGTAGTTTACGTACATATAATATATTGGTATGTAAAGCAACGTTCGACACGACAATTCATGCCTTCGGGATTTTGGGGTGCAATGCACATGTGGAAGTAAGTGTACTTTTTCCATAGCTTGTGTAGAATGTATGGTACTTTATTTTAAGAGCGAAAATCATCAAATGACTTTTACTGCCCTACGCCACGATACGCGCCGGGCGCACGCGGTTCGCTAGGCGCCGGGCGCACGCGGTTCGCTACGCGCCGGGCGCACGCGGATCGCTACGCGCCGGGCGCACGAGGAACGCTACGCGCCTTGCGCTCCGGTCTGGTTCTGGTGAGGCAGCGAACTAACTACCCTCAGTTAGCCCTACCTTTGAGGGATATGACAAATGACCTTGAGGACGGTAATATTCAGTTTAAACAAAATCTTTTTTTTATCACATAAGTCAGTTATCAAGGTCATATTACAAAAAATTTATACGAACAAACACAAAATAAAACTACGTCAAAATAGTAAAAGTGAACGATACGATAGAAATCCTTGAAAGTATCTAAATATAGATAGCAACTTTTTATGAAGACAGCAGATGAAATGTATTCTACATATAGAGCTGACATTACAAGGACCGAGAAATAACAAAGTTTACTTCAATAACTTATAGTTAGAATCTTTCTGATACTTTAGTCTGAATTTGCGTAAAATGTTAGGGAAAATATTTAGTTTTAATTCCGTGACAAAAATCCAGGCTTGTTGCAGGATGCAATCCCACTCCTATGCAATAATGCATATGCACATGCAGCATGGGTCCCACCCTCCCTCCCACATGCATATGCACACATACACAAAACGGAAAAACACGCAATCAAACCTATACTCGACACGTGTTTCGCCCCTCCACAGGGCATCCTCAGGAGATGTTGACTCGACGAGCGCTCGGCTGCGAATGGATTTTTGTCGCGGATATAAAACTAAATATTTTTCCTAACATTTAATGTCATGGATTTCCGCAAAGTAACGCCTGATTCTATAAATTATCTGAATTTGCGTAACTTTATGTATAGTTACGGTACTGCCGAAGTTCTGTATTTTACTCGTACTGATGCTCGGTACGCCAAAGTGAATTTGGATTTCGTTATCATGCATGACATAATACCTTTTATTTCCTAAAAACCAGTAGAGAAGAGTACTTTGTTTTTCGTGGAGTTTACACAACTAGGTCAGATCGACCATTGATTCTAAATCAGATAGGACTGAACGTCCACAAGGTGCAACTACACCTCACCAACTTTTCACTAAGGTTATATAGGTAACTAAGTTTCCATTTGAAACTGAAAGGAATATAAGATAGCTTATCTCGCTTTCCAATGTCCAAAATGTCTTCATGTAGATACAAAATCGTACCATAAAATCTCTCCTCCTGAATGTAATAGATAAGTATACTAAACCTAACTTAAAAAAAAATTCGTACATTAGGCATTTATTACGTTATTAATCTGACTGCACCGGTGGCGCGGTGGCTGGGCAACTGGTTCGATTCCCGCATGGAACAACTCTTTGTGTGATCCACAAATTGTCGTTCCGGGTCTGGGTGTCATGTGTATGTGAAATTGTATGTTTGTAACCGCATCCACGACACAGGAGAAAAATCCTAATGTGGCGCAACGTTTTTTTTTTTAAGAAAAAAAAAAGTTTCCTGGGAACCACAAAAAGCTACTTAGTATTAATAGAACTACAATTTAATCAATTTTGACATTAAGTGTGGTAGAGCCATATACGTTGGCATGAATAGGCCGGCTCGATCGGAGTGATACCAAGCCCTCACAAAAAACCGGCATGAAGAACACTTACGTTGTGTTTCGCAGTATGAGAGAGGTTGCTGGAGGCCTAATTCTCTCCTCCTCACCCCCAATTCTCAATCCTCAATCCCCCTATCTTTTAATCCCTAATAAGGCACAAGAGGCCAGCAATACAATTGTAGTAACTCCTTTGGTACTACGGGTGTCCATGGACGGCGCTAATTACTTACCATCAGGTAATGTCTGCTTGTTTGCCGACCTATAACATAAAAAAGGCATTCATTAAGTCATTCAAGTTGGAATATAAACGCCTAAAAAGCTACTTAGTATTCATAGAACCGCAATTTTATCAATTTTCGCATTAAAAAATACTTTAGTAGTACCTACTTGAAAATAAAAATGAACTTAAAATGTCATTCGGTCTCGTGTCACGAAGTCGAAGGCTACGACATTGCCATTATGGCACAAATCGTAACCACCGACCTTGGGTGTTGCATTTAGCCATAAAAAAGAAAAATGTATAGAAGTGTCACTCCCATAAAATATAACACAAGTTTCAACAGCGAATTATAAATTGCTGCAACACTTTTCTACTTTATTGTCACACTAGTTTTTTCGTGCGCCTTCATAAGTTGCTTTGTGTTTTCATTTCGTAGACCTTTTGTTCATCAATTTGAGCCTTTTATAGTAATAGTCAAGGTTATAGATTTATCAAAATAAATACCAATGGGATGCAATGAAATGCCAAATCATCCAGTAATTTCTCCTGTCATAAATGAGTCGACAGGGAATATCAGACTCTTGCTGACTTAAAATCACTCCGTTCCTTCTACTGTTCAAGTCGGGGCTGCAGAACATTATTGCGTTTCCACGAGCCTATACCTACTTATGAAGTACCTATTTGTTTTTTAATTTAATACACCGGCAAACGAGCATACTGATCCTATGCAATCGGTGCCAGGCATGGACAGCCGAAACATCAGTGTGCGCTGCCGGCCTTTTGGTGATAAGGAGTTTTGGGGATTTAGGTATTGGGTGGGTCAGTCAATTCTTGCTGCATCATGACTCTCCCACACTTAAACCTGAATCAGTCAGCCTCACGTTTGCATTTATTTATGGTACTTCTTTCTTTTTTCCTTTCATGTCTTACAGTATATCAAGCGGCTGGAACTACCCAGTGACACTAATAGTACGATTGACAAACATGATGAACTAAGTATGGGGGGTGAATAAAAATAATATAATGACATAATGACGTTCATATAACGTTTTGTGCATACAATTGGATCACGATAACTAGGTTTCTGAAACTTTAAAACGGCAAAATAGACTTTGCTGTTCAAAATACTTTACTTTTAGGTACCGATGACGCTTCTACTCCTTGAGAAAATACTTAAAACAATGTACCAAATAGTATACTAGTCTAATTTCGATCGAACGTTAAAGGGGCAATTTTTATCATCATAACAAAGTAGTTGGATGACATTGTATTTTATTAACCGACTTATGTTTTGTTTATTTTCTATAAATAAAACCAACCTACATTGATTACTCTTCAAAAGAACATTTAAAAACAAAATTTCATCAAAATCGTTGCAGCCGTTTTCGAGACCCTATGAAGATTATGAAGAAACAATAATTGCTCGTTAAAAAGTATATTAGGGTAGAAGATATAAATACAATACAATTGACAATAAAATATTATAGGTTACACGTGTGTAGCGAGACCCCGTTTTCCGGCGGAAACACCGTTATTATTGTAATACAATAATATGAAATAATATTGTTTTGATATCTGTTATTGGTATTTGAGGAATATTTCATATTTGCTGTCGTTAAGAAGTATTGCTTTGCTTAGGTATTTAGCCAAATATACCTATGTAAGATGCCAGTTTATTTTTGCATTCGATATATGGCGGAATATACATATGTATAACAAGTGTGGGAGAACCATGGTCGGCTCGACCGGAGTGATAACACGGCCTTACAGACAACTAACTAAACTAAACAGCAAAATGATCAATCAGCTGTTGCAAATTTTATGGGGCTTTTTTGAGATTTCGATATTGATCCGATTCAAAAAGTTTTTGTAATTGAACACTTAAATCGGCTCCTTAAATATGCCCATCGTTCAAAATGTCACCCGCTATAATAAATACCTACTTCTATTATGTATGACCAGTTAAATTTTTTATTACAAAAATATTTCCCATACCTAAATAAAACGCAAAAGCCGCAATCGCGTATTTATAGTTGTGTAAAAAATAGGAGCGATCCATTAAATACTTACGTCATTAAACAATGGTCCTCATTGAGTTCTTCGAAATAAATAAAGAGAGGAAGTAGTAAATCAATCAATACGTACATTTACCTCATTAATGTAGTCTCAAGGTCGTATTATAATTATCTGAATAGGTACAACAACTGTCAGTTGTAATTATGTTTGGAATATATGGAACCGTTTCCGACGCCCAGGTGTGATATAACCTACCTATTTTATTAAGTGTATACCGAATGAACATTGCAGTTTCATTGGAAAAACTGTGGATTGGTGGCTTGTGATACTATAAAGTACAAAGTATGCGATTATGTACATTAAAACTGCTACCGATCTCTGATATTGTGGGCAATCCCCAAGCTACCTGTGAAGCTTAGGGATTATGAAAAAGCCCCTCTGAAGAGAAATACCTACTATTAGTTAACAGTAGATTAATCAGAATTTAGCTAAATTCCTGCAACATTCCGGATGATGATGGTAATAGATTTGATTGAGTTTGTAAATAATTAAGAAATCTTTTTTTTTATTCTTATTTTATGTAGGTGCTTTTTCCAAAGATATGTCAGCCCCATCGTACCCGTACATCGTATTTTATACATTGACTACTTTAAAAGCATTCGTTTCTAAATTAGTTAGGTATATATATTCTATTATTACTTTAATGAAAAACTCCTAATTGCAAATACTCAACAAAAATTGTAATGCAATTTGTTTTTAGTATCCCTATCGAAAAGAAACGACTGCAACACATAGATGAAATATCTTAAGAAATTAATAATGCAAAAACAACAGTCAGTTGCTATGGTTACCATTTTTAGCCCCCCAATGACGAAGCATTCCCTTTGTCCTTAAGAAAGGATTTTTTCTGAAGAAAAAAGTGTATTTATCGTAAACCTTGGTATCGGTTATGACCACAACAATATTTTTAGAAAAATAATAGTCAAGGTACCAATATAACAAAAGTTATTGGTTACCTAAGTGATTTACAGAATTTAATAACTGATAAACTCTATAGAAGTATTTAGACCTTTCAAATCATGCAAACATTCAGAAGATAGCAAAGTATTATCATAAAATAAAAAGGGAATCTTTCTGAACTATCTTCCATCTTGTTCGAGAATGAAACGTAAATAGAGGTGGTACTTATCTTTGCTACAGCTATTTAGAAGCCGTATTCAGAGAAATAATGTTTGCTGTATAGGCTTGCAACTTTCACATTCAATACCTCGCCGTGTCTCCCAACTCCTTCAACTTTTTTCAAAGCTAAAACCATCCTTACATTTTGAGGATAAGGTTTAATATTTTTCGAAAAGAGTTCTTAGAATGTTC